AACCTACGGTCGTACATCCGCTTGCTGTAGACCAAGAGTGGAATTAGCTGAGCACCAAGGAGCGGGCGGCTGGGATCTGCGGACAGACTAACGTTGCCTTAAACATGTACTGGCTCTCCATCTCCTTTTGCAACTGTTTCATGTTTGTGTGCCTATAGAGACCTATGATGATATCCTTGTGGAATAACCACTGGGCCTCAGATGGCCCAGCTGATAATGTTTGCCTTGCCTCGGCATCGCTTGTTGGGGCTGGAGTAGGTTCTTGGTGGGTGGGAACCAAGTTCAGGAAGTTACCCGCTTGTTTGTCGTGTACGGACATCAGGGGCAAAAGTGATGGAGGTATGACACTGGATATATGTAAATGGAATCATCTAGAAGAGAACACTGAAGCAGGATTTAGTGACAGGACTGGGGCAATGGCGGATCATTTAAGACCGTCGGTGAATTTCACAGAAACGCACAGCATGATTTGCTTCAAAGCCGGTCAGTGATTCCTGCCTCCAGCAAGTCCAATATTCCTTCCGGCTTCTGTCTGCCCTCAATCTGTCAGAAGTCTGGCCGGTGTGCCTCCTCCCGTCACCCAGCCAAGAGATAAGGCAGACCGAGAAAGGCTCCCTGCATGATATATCAGCCAAACATTCCAATAACCAGAACTCCTGCCCAATGGAACGGGCATGGGAGGTCAACAGTCTGTGCGACCTGTCCGAAGACGACGAAGCGATTCGTCCGCCTTGTGCTGCCGCCTTCGGCTTGTCAGACCATGATGAAAATGTCTGGGCTTAGGGTCGGCGTGTCCGATCAAAAATTCAGCTTGCCGCTTTTCGATGGCGCTTTAGTGATACAATGATTCGAATGAGTCAAGGAATCGAGATGCTAATTTGTTGAGGAGGCAATGCTAATTAAGTACCTACAGAGGCGGCTTGCAGGTGAGACCTTGAGGCTCAGATCAGGCTACGAGGCAAAATTAGCAACGCGCTGCCAGTCACATCCCTGACAATTTAAAGGTTGGCGCTCGAGACCATCCAAAGAGAATTCTGAATCTGCTATTACCCCGAAAGATTTGATCACTATACCAACTTCTCCGCGGTATACATTGTCTAAACTCATTTGGCCTTGACAATCTCACTCGGCGGAGTTTGGCTCAGCTCTCAACTGACTCTCGACGCGAAAAACTACGGTCGACTGCCACATCAACAAATATGGAGAGCAACGGCACAGCTTTGGCTTCTGCGATTAAGCAGCAGGATGGTGAAGGAGATACCCACTCGTGAGTTGATGCTGATCCCGTATCATATGTTCTGATAGTGTTCATGAGAAAAAGTTCTGTGACGTTGGCGCTGACAGAGTAATCCTCTCAGATTGGCAAGCGTGAAGATGAAATGGTATACTCGATTGGGAATTCGGGGCCCTCATGGGCGCCGGCCTGCTTGCCGTTACCCGTACCTCAAGGAGACGCGAATCGACCCAGGAAATCCAAAAGATGATGCGGATACCAACGGTGGTGGATCCGTTGAGATTCCTTTGTACGAGTACATAAACTTTCTCCGGCAATCCACTGTCCGAGAAGAAGAATGGGTGAATTACCTCAGCGCTGCACGCTTCAGCCCACGGAAGATGGAGGTTCAAACATCCAGCCATCGACTAGACAATGACGCGGCACCTAGGGACTGGCTCTCTCAGCCCCTCAGGGGACATGCGCCGCTGGTTGTACAGCTGTCTCGGTGGGCAGTCAAGCCTTTGATGTCGACGTCACAGGGGCGACATGTCGTGGCCTTGCTTCGAGCTCTCCTCGTCGCACTGCCCATCTTGATCCTGATGCTCTGGCCAGGTAATATGATCTGGCACACCTCAAACCCTCTGGATGGCTATGAGGGATTCGTTGGCCACCACTGGAACTGGCCCAAATTCACTATCAACGAACTCGACATGAAGCCTGGTCCTCCAGGCGTGTGCTCGCGACAAGAGAGACGGCGGGAGTTGGACGTTCGAAATCGACTTGAGTACCCCAAAAAGCTCCTCATTAGAAGTCCAGATGGTGTGTGGAAAGTGATAGAGACTAATCACCTACTTGAGCGTCCTAAGTATCTCTTCATCAGCCACATTGGTTCGCGGGACAAGGGAGAAGAACCACACTATCGCAAAGCTGCTCAAGCACTTGCAGAGACTGAAGGCTTCGCCGCAATCTTTCTTGACGAGTCATGCTTCATTCGAGGAATCAGACGTCGCGTCCAAGCAGGGCAAATATCAGAGATAGAAGGACAAAGAATCACCGACTACGATATCTACACTCTTTGTGACGTTGTGCGAGGCTCGAGCAAAGTAGCTTTCATCTATCCGAACCCTCCTACTCCGATGGATTTCCGGGAAGAATGGGGCAAACGCATGTGGACTTTTCTTGAAGGCCTTCTCGCCCCTGGAAACTCAATCTTATTTTGCCCCTGGGACTATGAGAACACTAGTCCTTCATCAGAACATTCACGTCAGACTTTTCGGAAAGTTGAACTGGCATCAAGATGCTGGGGAATAGCCCAAGGTCAGACGGACAAGGAGGGCGGTAATTCCACCAGAATCCTGGCTGAGCACTTTGCTGGGCTGCTCACTCTGACACCCCTTGAGCTTCTCCCGTTGTCAATGCATGCTCTCAGTTCGCGGAACGCCGGGAACCAAAATTCCCTATCCGACATGGCCTACGCTGCAATGGGACTTCTCCGCTACCGAATCGAGCGAGACCGCGATGCGAGCTTCGAGCCCACCCTCTTCCAAACGCTGGCCCATCTGTCACTCAAAAATGACAGCGACAAGATTATCGACCGCATCATCAGCCTTCTTCCTCGTCAAAGACTCTCCAGTGATATCCCAAGACACTCATCGGACGACATGATCTGGACAAGCCTTTGCGAAAAGGATAGCTTCGGTACCCTTGTTCACCACATCACACCCCTATGCGAGGTCGTGGGTGTAGCTGACGAGGATCAAACTGTCTTTCTTGATGGCTGCCATGCAATCAACATCCGGTGGAAAGACTTCCCGCGTATCAAGGTACATGGCGGTCAAGGCGGAGCCAAGAAAATTGTTATACGCGTCATGGTTCTCGGCAGTGCCGCACTCATGGGTCTGATGATTCCTTTCGCTGTATTTGCGGGAGCAGGCCATGCTGCTTCAGAGAATCTCAACTCCTACTCCAGAGGGTTTAGACGAGTACCAGACTCCGGAAATGAATCTTCCTTTAGACCTTGGATGGGGCTTGGGCAAGCCTTCGACAGATTTGGACGCCGGGACCTCGGGGACAGCAACAACATCTCAATCGCAATGCTAGCTTTGGCTATCATTTGCTCGGTTTCTGCCTACCTCATCGCTGTCGGGATACCTTTCATCGTCCATCGTTTCCTATCAGGGACCTTCCTTGGTTGCAGCCCCTGTCTCGTTGGGTTCGAAGGCGTCATGCCAATCAGGGAGGTCGAAGAGCGTATTTTTGGCATTCACATTGGGAGACTGAGATACGCCTCATCCGCCTCGCATCTCTTCACGGATGAACGAGATTTGGACCCTGAGAAGAGATGGTATCAGGAAGGTAAACCCTCTTGGATCGAGGGCAAGGGTGACTCTGAAGAGATCGTCAAACTTCTCAAGAAAGGGCAGCGGGTGTTTACGCTTGTCGACTTAGGGACTCTTTCAGTCATCGTCTTCGCGGCCGAGAGACCCCCTTCGGTAGCCCTTCTTACTGGCAGAGAGGGGGGGATGCTTAGAGCTGTCCTGTGTAGCTGGAGCTTCCGGAACGATTGCCTCTACAAGGAAGCCGTCGTCAGAATGCCTTCGAGTGTCTTGGCTGACGCAAGACCTACGAGCTGGGTGAAGCTCTGCATTCGTTCTCTGGACGAAGCGCGTCAAGCCCGCTTCTAAAAGAAAGATGCGGCCGGGTTAGGAAATTAACAACTTTGATCGAAGGCTTTGCGACACAGATCAAAGATAACAAGAAGAACGCCTGAAAAAGAGCAGAAATCGACATGTAACAAGTTGACGGAGGACCATATGTGCGAATAGAGATTGAGAGGACAACTGAAGCCTCCAAGGAAACGGATTCGGCTCCTTGAGTGGCGCTGAGGGTGTTGACTAGTGCATTCATGGAAGGGCCCAGGTGATGTATGACGTGCGAGACAGCATAGCCAGCAATGCGTACGACGCTTCAACAACAGCACTCGAAGCTGCCACGACTGCTTACTTATCACATTGCAGCATGCGAATCTGCCCAAGATGCCAGTGAGGATGCCCAAAAGGTTTGCCCCTCCAAGAGTCGGGCGCCAAACCTTGTCTCTTCGTCAGCTGCTATCACATTCTTGTACTGGACTCCACGATGTTTTGCAATGGCGATACAAATGATCAATCCGTTTTTTAGACATATGTTAGACTCTTTTCTGGGTTGTTGTGATTCAACGTACGGCAAAAGGAGAAGCATGGAACGGCTGTGAATGCTGGCCTCGTTGAGGTATGCCCGATCGGAGGAGAAGAGGGCTCGGTCATGCGAATGAATGTATCTGCGGGAATGCAGCGCAGCCAATTGTAAGCCAAAGAAATCAGAGTGGCTGGGAGATAGTTCACTGTAGGGCGGAGGCGAGAAGATGCGTGGGCACATGGGGCGGCACATGGGCAGGTCTATCGGGCCGGGGGGGGGGGGGGGGTAAACATCAAGCAGGAGACCGTTCCAAGCCAAGCTTTTACAAGCACAGCGTTCTAAATTGAGTGATGCCAGGTGATGTCACTGAAAGCAACATGACTTAGTTTGGTTGAGTGCGACTGATGCATTGTAGGCATTGCCCTTCTCTCGTATGCAACTCAGATCAATCACATTATACAGAGACTAATTAATGTTTGCAATAACATTATTCTGACATCTTGATAGTATGAAAAGTCTTTAATGCCTATTGAATATGGCAGAGCCAATCAGAATGGCTGCGGCCACACTAATCTCTTCCATTCCCTCCCATGATTGGTCTGTATGACTCTCAAGGTTTCTTATGCCCAGGGCACATGACGCTGACTTGAGTCGTGGTAAACTTAGGGAAGGGATTGGGGAGGTTCAAGTTGAGGTTGTTGGTCGGTTTCCGCGGCACAGTAATCTGCTCATCGGCCATGAACTGTTTACATCCCCAAGTGAGGACTCCGTTCTTCACAACATCGCCACCACCGCATGCATTTTGAGCTGTAAGGGAAGAAAGTCAGTAATCTTTTTTCCACTCTCACATATTCCGTCAACAAGTCGACTTACGTCCAATGGGACCGTCTTGACCAGCCTTGCCATAGGCGACAATGCGTGTTGGAGGAGGGTCGTTGCGAGCAGCTTCAGTAACGGCGTCGTCCAAATAGTACTGAGGAAGCGTCAGTATGTTATTGATCGGGGTGATTGGATATCATGTCTAGACAGAGTAGGACTAACCTGATGGACAGCAGCAACTTCGGCGCAGCTGGCCTGGGTTCGGTGCTGCTTGTCAACGGTGGTGCCACGCCTTGCCGCGTCCTGCAAACTAGTCTGGCATCGCTCAAGCGCAACGACAACCTGAGGCTTAAGACGCGAGTCCGCATAGGTATACAAGAAGGGCCCACCCTTCAGGTTGGAAGACAGATAGACGTCCTTGCCGAGGGCCATGGCGGCCATCATGACGGGTTGTCTGTTGAAGCGGACTTTATCCGCATTGAACTTTGTCTGCATTTAGTTGAAGGCTGCGCGAGCGAGCCCGTAGAGCTGACCGTCGTTGAAGAGCGTTCCGGTGTCTTGCTCAAATGTGAGCTTGGCGGAGTAAACGAAACGTTGTGCATCGTCGCGCGCGGCCTTGTCGAGGGTGATTCCAAACGTCTGAGCAGCGACGTTGAGGATGAGGGTGAAGAGCAAAAAGAGTGATGAGAGGCTGGCTCCCCAGCTACCACCGGCGTTGAACCACATCGTGGATTACTTTGAGACTACTTCAGATTCTGGAGCAGGACTTCCAGTGATAGACTAGCAAAAGAGTGTAAGGGCGGAGGGCCGGATCAGGAATGAATGGACGCGAAACCGCGGAGGAGTTGAAGAGAGTGACAGTATGATGCGACGATGGTTATAGCATCGTGAGAGAGACACACGGTACTTTCAGAAACCGGGCTGAGTTGCCCATGACATAGTTAAGTTATTTGTCAGATGGACTTACGAACAACTGCTCCGAACTCTGTGACTGACTTGTAAACTAAACTGTCTCTTGGCAGTAATTTGACAGCTTGCTCAAAATCCCAGCAAGAGTTGGCCAGGGCCATTAGTTCGCCTGACGTTGATTAAAGGTCGAAGTCAAACCCATACCAATAATAGCCCCCAAAACCGGCGTCGGAGTGGAAATACTTGCCCGACGGAACCGATCTAGTACGTTAAGGGAGATAGAGTTTAAGGAACAGTAAGGCTAATTAGAGTCGGCGCCCGCGGTGGTTGTAGGCGACGCTGGGAGCGAAACCCACGTGTGGGCAGAGCGATTGACAAGAAGAGTAAAGCTTATTAGATATACGAGTATACATATCAGTGGGCAGGTAATAACGACGGTATGCCCGGGTATCTTGGTGGCCTTGGCTCTTGGGGCGGAGGAGTTTCGTCTCATGTTGTGACAGCCTTTGTCTTGGCGCGCGCGGTTGCCGGCAAGGCGGTAAAACCGTAAAACTCAAAGTCAATCTCAACCACCGCGGCGCTGTTGCGGGCAGCAAAGTAAAAGGAAATAACGAGCAGAAATATGATACGCCCGGGGCTGCCGAGGGCCTTTGCTTCATTTATGATGTCCGTATTCCGTATGTAGTCGGCGACTGTCCGTACGATACCTGACGACACTGACTCGCTCTTCGGCCCGAGCACCGGTACGCACCGCCACGACAAGACGCTTAGAGTTAATTAAGGGAATAGAGACTAAGGCACTTTGAGATGTTCCAGATTCATCATACATTGCAGCCCGCTTGGCGCGGAGACAAGTTGCGAATGGTTCATGTCGCAACAGCAGTTATAGTCATGCAACCACCACCGTGTCGTTGATGGGTTTGTTTGGGGTTTTGAGCAAACCATTCCACTCATTCAGCATCAACCTGTGCTTCTGATTTCAAAGTCACTCTTTTTTGTTCTTAGCCAAACATGAAGGCTTACACATTGAGCCTCGGGCTCCTTGCCGGGCTCGCACTTGCTCAGAGCGACTCAACGGCCGAGGAGGTCTTTGGAGCTATCGATCAGTGCAGCACGGCCAACTTTGACCAGTGCCTGAAAGATTCTACTGCACCTCATCGTTGCCTCAAGGTCCAGAAGTTTGCTGAGTGAGTACATCATATTATAACACGTCTTCTACAAGTCCTAACATTGTTCCAGGGAGATTGTTCAAGACACATGTGTTTTCAGCTGCCCTGATCAGTCACCTTGCCTCACAAAATGTGGCACCGATCGTGGTGGCGCATGGTGTGGTGAAGGGTAAGTTGAAGTCTCTTCATATGATCCAACAATGTCAATGATAACTAACCTGCCTATCTAACAGAGGTACCTGCTTCTGCGATCAGGGCTGGGATACCGCTCAGCCTGCTCCCGCAGACCCTTATGACCTCTCATGGGTGAAGAAGTGGGCTGCCATTGGCGATTCCTAGTGAGTTCCCATCAATCCAGATGGCCAGCGCTCACCATTCTAATTTGATTGTCTTTGATAGCTCCGCCGGCATTGGCTCCGGTTCGCCGTACCCCAACAGCTCAACCACCTGCGCTCGTTACGACCAGTCGTACCCAGCCTACATGCAATCTCACGAACTTATGCCCGAGTCTGCTCAATTCGAGTTTCTTGCCTGCTCCGGCGCCACCGCCCCCGAGATCCTTGCCAACCAGGTCTCCGCGTTGGGCACCGGCTACGACATCATCACCGTCAGCGCTGGCGGCAACGACGTCGGCCTCACCAGCATTCTCAACGCCTGCATCTTCCAGTGGAACCCATTTGCCAACTGCCCCGACGAGATGCAGGCCACGCTGAACCTCATCCGCGATACTCTGCCGGGTAACTTGGACAAGCTGTACGCTGGTCTCAAGAACAAGATCAACCCGGGCCGCAAGATTTACGTTACGGGCTACGCCAACTTCTTCGATAACACCACGACTGCCTGCGACGACGTCAGCTGGTCGTTCTGGTTCAATAGCGCCAATAAGCAGAAACTCACCACTGAGCGCAGAACGCTGATGAACGAGCTCACTACTGCCGTCAACAACGTCATCGAGGCCGCGGTCAAGAGAGCCGGTGCCTCGTTCGAGTTCGTCGACTACAATCAGTACTTCTCCGTGCTTCAGGGCCGTTTCTGCGAGGGTGCCACCAAGGAGCCCAACGGAAACCGTGATGGTCTTCTCTTCTTCGAGTGGTCTAGCAAGAACGACGATACCACCCTCGCGAGACGTGAGCCCGAGGTCGCATCTTTCAACAACGACCAGATGCTTCCTCGCGCGACCCCCACTATTGGCGACGTTGATTCGTCTCTGGAGATGCGCAGTAGCAAGCTGGGCCTCTTGTCTATCCTCTCCAAGCGCGCCGGACAAATCTGGAGCGCCTTCCCCCGCAGACACACCACCAAGTCTAACACAAAGACACCCGTCCTGGAAGTCCGCCAGGGCACGGCTGCCTCGCCGTCAATGGAGCAGTACATTGCCGACCAAATCACGGAAGCGCGCAAACGCAACTCAAGCCTCGTCATCTCCCTCGCCGACAACAGCGCCGCGGACCCAGCCTTCAGGGGCCGCAACAACATTGAGGTCTCTGACTTCATCGGCGACGAGATCAAAAGGGTGTTTCACCCGCGTCCCGGCGGCCACGCCGTGATTGCGAACCTCGTCATGTGGCGTCTGGCAGAGGATAACGCCGCGACGGTGGGCGACAAGGAGTTTGGTGCCACGGAGGCTGCTGGTTGCGCTGTTCCTGTGCCGAGCACGCCGTCTATGCCTGAGACGATTCCCGGCGTGCTGCCGAATTGTCAGGCTGCTGCGCTCAAGTGCTTGAACTGTTTGGGTGGTGCGAGCGGTCTTGGTGTGTTTGTTTGCAACTTCCAGCACCACTCTGATTGCAATGCTTGTGGCGGCGGTGATGGATGCCCGTGCTAGACGTGTGGCGGAGGTTGCGTGAATAATAACGATGGTCGTTGCGGGGGAGATATGACCAGCGAACTTGAGCCTTTCTTTCTTCTCGTTGGTCCAGAGATATTACTTAGTCTACAGCCAAAATACTTCATTAGTTCAAAGACTTGTCCCATCTTGTGATATTGCCGGTGGTGTTGGCTTCAGGCACACCGTTGTGAATGTCGATGCAGGAAGAAAAGGCAGACGCGTGAACCTCTTAGGGTAGCTGGGTATCAGAATCATATTCTCATAGTGACAGGTCTCTAATAGCTTGCATATCTATGGCTTCAACTCCACTGTAATTGTTACTCCAGCTTCCGATCCCCTGGCGATCAAGTTGGCCTTCAGCTCCTCTGCCCGTTGCTCCTCGCCAACCATTGAAATCTCCAACCTCAGTTCCTTCAAGTGCCGGGGCCGGCTCTCTAGGTACTCGACAATCTTGGCCTCAAGTGACTGCCACATGGGAACCACCGGGTCATCCTCCTCCCAATCGAGGTCGTCCCATCGATAGTGCCACCAGAAGAACATTTCGTTAGTGATGGTCAAAGCCTGGAGGCCCTCGGGGAGCACATCCGCCAGCTTCGACGAGCCTTTTGTTTCCCAGCCGAGGAGTACCGGCAGAGAGATGGAGAGACGAGTTAGTCGCGTGAAGTCCTTGAGTGACCCGAATGAGCCGCAGATTCCCCAGGGCCCGACCTCGCCGCAATCGATGGCCGTGGACGTCCAGAGCGTCAGCGCAAAAGAGAGCTCTTCGAGTGATGCCTTCAATGGGTCGAGCGAACTCCTCAGCACCCCTAAGTCTACCCAGTCGGACGCGTACTCAGCGTCGATAACGTATCCGCAGCGGAATGTCTTGAGATTCGGGGAAGCTCGCAAGAGCTGGCCAACATCCTCCTCGGAGAGCTGGCATCTGCTTAGAACCAGCTCTTCTAGTGTAGCTGCTGATGGCTTCGGATGAGGAGTTGGCCAGATGATTGATTTCCCTCCATCTTCCACTCGATGAAGCTCAAGAGTTCGAATTTGCGGAAGGTAAAAGAAGGGGAGAATATTCTCAGCGTATACGTAGAAGTTGAACTCGTTTGCCGAATCTCCGTCAGGGGTTGGGACTAGAACCTTGACTGATTCCACATTGCTGAAAGAAGAGCCAGCAACAGAGTTCGAAGCGACCAATTGGCTGAAAAGAGTCAGGAACTCATCCCCGAGTGGGCGAGATTGTGTCCATTCGTCGTGATCGTTCCGATCGTACGTCTGCACTTCAAGCGTCTTGAGGGCTGGGGGCCGCGATAACAGAATGGCGGTGGTTTGTGCAAGCGAAAGCTCTGATTCTTGTAAGAGTGCCTCAGTTCGTTCAGCCGGCAGGCGGGACTCAGTGATCCACGATTGGATGGTAGCCTTATCGCTTGAAGTGAGACGTTTCGCAAGTAACGCGGCATGAGGGTCTCTCGCAGCTCTCACACCGCGCAGTGTGACTTCTCTGATAGCAGCAAGATGTGATGCGTTGCCTAACAGTCGTCGCATGTCCTCGATGGCTGCCGTGAGATCTGACTGATCCCAGTCCCACAAAATAGCGGTTGGTGGTGCTTCGTTGGCCATGATGGGATTGCCTTGCTGATCCAGTGAGATCGAATAAACCGTTCGTGGGATGATCAATCGGTCCAGCGGAGAGATTGGGAGATTGTCCTTATTCAACGTGGAAACCACGGTGAAAGTGGTTCTCAACGACGTGTTCGTCCCGCCCGAGTGGTACCTGCGTTGCTTCGTCTGATTATATTTAGCGGCTCATTCCCTAGAGTTTTGGTCCGCGAAAC